AATTGTACTTTAGTGAACCTATATTGCCCTATAGGAAAATTTGAAAAATAGATAAGTCAAAAATAACATCAACAACCGCAGGATACGACATGGAAACCTAAATATCATAAAGACATCAGGATTAGATTATTAGAACGCAGTAGTTTGGGTTCATTTTGTCCTTTTTATATTTATTCAACAGAGATATAATTAACCCCAAATAGTGACATGTTATTCATGTATTGGGAATGGTCGTCCAAATGGTTGCGAAACTGTTACAAAATCAGATTTAAAATTACCACCCGGCGAGCAGTTCCTTTCAACCTTAAGCTCCACTGTATCCACTTTGCTGCCACTTGACCACAGCTGTTACAGGTCAGTGTGCCCTTCAGTGAGCCTGCGGTGACTCTGTAACCCTGCAGGTAGTCGCTCTTGCTCACACACACACACATATAAATTAAAGATAAGCCCCCTTATAGAGCAGCCATTGAAGTCAATGACTGCTCTTCTGGACTGCAGCGTGATATTTAAAAAAGATGGGAGCTCCTCGTTTCTGGGAAGGAGACTTTTTCGAGTTGGTTTGAAAAATTAATAAGAAGCCAGGAGCGCTATGAGATAGAGCTGATTGATGGGATAAGGCTAATTACTGAGGGATGGTGTGTGTGTGTGTGTGTATGTGTGTGTGTATGGCGAGGAAGGTGGTGTGCTTCCCAGCCTAAAAGATGAAACCCAACCACCTAATGATGATTAATGACAGCAGAGCGAAGAGATGAAGATAAATAAAGACACAATAGAAGGTTAAAAACACTTAAAGACAAACAGACAAATAGAAAATGTCAAAAATAATGTCACACAGCAGAGACAGACGGATAAAGATAAAGACAGACGGCGGCAGATAAAGGTGAATAGAAACACAAACAGCGGCATGAGAAAACATTCGTCCCTGAGCACTAAACCCTTTTGACATTTTAAGTTTTAGCTGCTTATTTTTCTTCCCCAGACGTGTCTTATAACATTGTGACAGACACAGATATGTAGCAGCGCCGGCCAGGAGCTTGCAGCTGACAAGACCCATTTAAGTTCACTCTCGTATGGTTTTATTAATACGGTTTTAAAAAAGAAACCATCATTTATTTATGACTTCTATTTTATGACTAGGTCTGTACTATAGACGTCAGTTCTTATAATTCTGTTGAATGAGACTAAAAACAGGTCTATAGCATGTTTAGAGTGATTCTGTCAGGATTTCACTATCAGAGGTTAAACTTTTAGAAAGAAAACTGTAAATCAGATCCAAATGCAGGAACTGATTTATCTGTGGGACGGCAGCAGAAACAAGTTGTGAACGCAACGTTAGCTAGCTTAGAGTAGCAGAGTCTTTCAACATCAGCACCGACTCTGTTCGACCTGAATGGAGTTGAACCTAAATCACTTTTATTGGTAACACCTTCATTTGAAAAAGGTCTATTTTAACCAATTTTCAATATTAAACCATGTAGAAAACATGATGTGAAATATTACCTTTGTGTTTGTTTCATGTATTAATGTGAGGAAGCTTACAGTCTCCTCATCGTGCAACATAAATTTATTAATGTATTTCTAAATGTTTACGTCTCTTTATGTACGTCATGAGTTCTTCACCAGGTCGGTTTCTGTGGTACTTTGTTGTATTTTGTTTAATTCGTTCAGAAACTTTTCCACCTTTGAGAAGTTTTCAGGTTCTCAGGTTTTTTATGTGCGAATTGAAAATGTGCATAAAAGCAGTCTTGAACTTGTCTTGGACTCGTTGGTATTTGTACTCGGATTCAATATTCTAGTTGGTCTCGACTGAGTTCGGCAATATATGTTTGTATTCTCTGGACAACTTCCTCGGTCTTGACTCTGTTTCTCTCATTTGGACTTTTGTATATTTTTGTCTGAGAAATAAAAGTCATAATTTGACATCCAACCTTTTAAGTTGTCGTGGTGAACCAATAGACAAACAAACATGGTTGAACGTGGTGAACAAACAGTTATTGATTTACACATCCAGTAGTTACGAAACAACCACTGACATATCTGCAATAACACTCTGATACCATTCAGTCTTATGGAGAAATGGAGTCGACTTCTCAGTTGATTTATGGAGCTCAGTAAACAGTTTCCTGCATGGAGTTTCTGGGTCCAGTCCTCTAGTTTCAGTCTTCTTTCCATAAACAGCATGATGTTTCATTATAACTGATGGTCCCATTTAGAGTTCAAACAGGACCATAAAGGCAGGGATGCTTTAGGGGCGGGGCCTACCTTGTGGATTGACAGGTCATTCTCAGTGAGTCCGTTCCAGCTCAACACCACAATCAGTCAACTGTCAAACAGTGTGCTGATCAGATATGGATCCAGGCCGTTTAAATGTTCCACTATGCTCACCTGCTAGCCTCTACCTGTGTCTGTCTGCTAAGTGAGATTGAACCAAAAACAGCAAAGTTGCGGGCCAGACAGGCAAAAAAAGAGCTGAATGCCACTTTATGGAACCTTTATGTCTCAATATGAAGAACATAGAGCCACAAACCGACCCGAGGCATCGAACAACTGTTCGGTCTGTCCTGTCTGCTGCTCTGTGGGTCAAAGGTCGACAGCACAGTCCTGGTGTGACATCAGAGGACGCTGTGGAGCTCACAGGAGCGACTCTGTTTTGTCATTCACACTTGTTCCACATCTCCTCACGTCTATGTGACAGACCTGCACAGTCCCATAATCCCGAGCGTGTGATGTCACAGGGTCGGCCTCAGGTCAGACCGGGTGACTTATCGTCCCTCTCAGCGCTAATGATGCAGGAAACACGATGCATCATCCGTCTACGCCTGGACAGATTTCACAGATGGAGCGTTTCGTTACTGCCCCTCCATCAGAAGCATGAAACCCGTCCAGGCTTCGCCAACCCGGGGAGCAGTGAGCCTGAGATATAACGTACGTCTCTGTTATTGCATCAGAACAGATTCACTGTGACAGAGCTGTGATAGAGCTACGAGCCGGTGTTTCAAATTATGAATGTGAACTCGGGCTTGTTGGCAGACATGGAGCCATTTTTTTATTTTCCATGTGACACTTATTAGTTCACACTCCTGCTGTGTGTGTGTGTGTGTGGTGTTGTTTGGTGTGTGTGGCTGCTGAGTGAGTGTGTGTGTGAGCTCAGACTTTTACAAACAAGCTAACACATTATCACAAACTGTGACAGCCAAGTTTCACCTCGTGCTTAAAGTGATAAATTCTGACTGCATTTAGCTTTTAACATTTTCTCTGCACTCGAATGTCCGTAACAGGGATTTTAGGCTGTGAATTAAAGGTCCAGTGTGTAACATTATGAGGATATTTTATGTAGAATATAATGATGATATTCATTAGGTTTGTTTTCATTAGTGTATCCACCTGATAATTAAGCAAGAGATGTTTTTATCTAGCAGAAGTGTGTCCTCTTCTCCATCCTTTCTGGCGGACGGCATTCTTGATTTTAAAGGAGTGTAAGAAAACAATTAATATATATATACACACATATATATATATGCATGTATCTCAGCATTTCAGACACACTAGATTTGTCAAAAAATAACATATGTATAGTATGTATAATTGTAAATAAAATACATAATACTGACATGCCAAATACAGATGTATTAAGATGTTTTCTTCAGTTGCAGTGTGTTGAGCTCTCAGAGCCACCGTATTATAAATTACATACAATTAGCTCCAACACAAACAGTGAAGTTTGAAACATAAAACCTTGTTTTAATTATAATACAGTCATAATGATAATAGTGGCTGTTGGGAGCTTTAAATGAGGATTACATTCTTCTGATAATTGAGTGAGTATTTTTACTTTGAGGTAGTCTTACTTTTATTAAAGTAAATTATATAATTACTTTTTCCACCACTGGTTTTCAGTATAATATAACTTTTTATAGGTGGTTTGTTCCACCTCCTCAACGTATGAATTGAAAACAATAATTAATGATAATAACCTTTCCACCTTGACCCAGAAATGCACCATTTACACCAGGAAACAAAACACTGTAATCTAACATCTTTCTCTGCTTCAGACAGAACAAGAATTCTATTACGTAGGTCTCTAATGAGATTAGCTTCTCTGTTAAATCCCACCAACCCCAGGTTACACTTACATCACCAACACTGCACAAATTATTATATAAAAGTGGGTCAGTCAAAAGTCCAAAGTTTTGTGTTACAAACACGACAACAAACGAGACTAAAGGCTTATAGGAACTCTGGCAGCTCTGAAACACACAGGGGACGGACTGTGTTTGTCTTCCTTGTGTTACTGGGAGACCTCAACAGATTATTGGACAACACAGACATTTAAAAGCCCACTGATCAGCCAGAGTTGATGTATTAGAAGCAGG